CGCTGAACAGGGTATGGTTTTTCCGAGCTTCTTGTCATAAACAGGGTATGCCATTTCTTTCAAGTTCCAAGTTATTCCTGAGTTTCCTGTTATATTTTTAACCGCCACCCGGTTAGCTCAGTTGTTAAGAACGTCGGTCTGCTGTGCGGGAGGTCGTGGTTCAAGCCTCGGCCAGATCAGCACTCAGGGTCTTAAAATAACTGAGGAGAAGGTGCTGGCTTTGTAATTATATCTGCAAATGGTTAGACCTTCAAGTCTTCTCGGACAAGAACTTAAAACCGTAGGCCCCGTCTGTCTTCACTATATGACCTTGTATAAAGCGGACGTAAAAGATCCAATGAAGACGCTGGTGACGACCATCTACTGGTGGATTTTCCTTCTTTACAATGGCGTTTCTGTTTTCCTATCCCAACCCTGAACTATTCGCCACCGACCCTTGTTTGTGTGGTTGCGGTGCAATATGTTTTGGCGAGTGTTTTTGATGTATTTCCCTTCCCCCCCTCCCCCCACCCACCTCCATCAATCTTGGTTTTAAGGTGTTTTGATAAAGATCCATGATCACCAAACCGAATTTCAATCGTCGCGTTGACAATGTTCTGTTTGCTGGATCATTTTTGAATTTATACCAGTTGTTGCTCTTGGTTTGAAGTTTGTACTAATGTATATTTTATTAAAATCAAAGTTTTCATCGCACGAAAATAGAGAAAAATTGAAAATTGCAAAAAATAAAATGGCACGGGATTCAGATGTGATTTAGAAAAATTGTTAACTCCTCATGGCTGCCATCACGTGATGGAATAAAACCTCTACAGACCACGATTTTGCAAAAATATTTCTTAAACAGATTCTAAAGGCGTTTTAAACCTGCAACATTACCGGCTTGGCTTCACTGGCACCACCCTTGCCTTTGAATACTCCCATCAATACGATACAACATTGTCCCAGTTGACCCAATCTGTCCCCAATCTGCTATTTTTCGTCCCTATTTCAGTAGAAGAAAAAAACGTTCGGACCATAATCAATCAATGTTCTTTATTTGATATTATCATTAATTCACGACTGACAACAAATCCTTATTCCCGTAATTAATTCTTTTTTTAACGTAACAGTTCCATAATTCATTTTATTTTATTTGATTTACTATTAAGCCTATTAACTTATTACGTTTCAGTCGTCATGCCAGCTATTTTAGACCGGTTGTACTTTACTAACAGATATTTTCTATCAAATCTTTTCGAGCATCTAAAGTAACAAAAAGGTAACAAATAGGAAGTAACAAAAATATAATTTTTTTATATCGAAATTATGGCTTCAACTTTCCCATGCGACTTGCCTTACCCTGCAAAGGGTTATGAGACATAATTTGGGCCCAAATCGAAAAGGTTCGGCCATCTATATAAAGTATACACTTCCTTTTAACGCGCCATGCGGGGATGATTTTTATAATTTAATTAGTAGAGTTTTTTTGATTTCCTCTTTCGAAATTTTATCAAATCATTTTACTTTAATCACTCAGACTGAAATGTAATTAATTCATTCGTGGAAAATATTCTTGATTGAGTTTTTTAGGTAACCGCTACTTACTCTTATTACTTGTTTGCTGGCTCGAAAACAAATGAGGTTAATTACTTACTTAGTTGGAAATAACTATTTTATCTCTGAGTACATTTAGGATCAGGCACGTTCTAAGTAACTGAAAATTTACCTCGGATTCAATACACTATATGAATATGCCATGGCATAGTTTCTTAATTCTCGTACGTTAAGTCATTTGAGATTTATAATCCCAGACTCATTTGAAATTCATATAATATTACTTATTTGCACGACTGCCTAGCTAGGTTTCATTAAGGACAAACAATGCAAGGTAGCTTGTAGAGTATATCTTGTTCTATTTGTATCAGTAGAAAATGAAAATATAGCAAAAAAATAAATTCCATTTAAAAAATGACCCTACGTCGAGTCTACTATGAGGACAGCATACATGCATTGAATGTCCTTCATGATACAATTCAAAATTAACTTACGCGCTATGCGTATTACCTGTGAACCTGACGACAGATTTCACGGATTTAATATTATCTTTTTTACAGTGGCGCGGAATCTCTACCGAGAGACGATCCTTTGGTGTAAGACTTTTTTACTTTTGTAATTTTGGTAACCGTCTCTGCTGAGCTCCGTCCATCTGAGGAAAGAGGAAAAGAACTTTTAATATTCATATTATCAAAAAATATTACCGTTTTTTAAGGTTTCCTTTGCATTGATGCATGAAAAGAGAAGGAAGTAAAAGTAAAAAAGGGAGAGGGAAGGAGAGGGAAGGAAAGGAGAAAAGGAAAGACAGATTAGAAGAAAAAGGAAACGAAAAGACTATAAAAATAATGATCGTTACCTCTGACAGGTTCAAAGCTATACTTGCTGCTGCCGTCAGAATCGACAGTAATCTTATGAGGAGCAATTTCCTGGAATGCTGAACCACTCCTCACTTCTGTCACAGTTGTTGTTGGGGAGTCAATCCTGACTTTCATTGCTCCAGGGCTTTCACTTCGGTATGTTTTTACGACTTTTTTCGTATACACTTTCTGGCCGTTGTCTGAAGTGGCAGTAGCTGTCGTGGTTTCTTCACTTGGATCGACTTTGACTTTGATCATTGGGCTTCCACTTCTTTGAATTCGGGTGTACTTGGAAGACACATGAGAAGATCCCTGATCTTCATCCTTTCTCTCAAATGGCGATCTCACTGTAACTAACTTTTTGGGACTCATCTCATAACGGGAAACTTCTGTAGTGGATACTGATGGCTCCTTAACAATCACCTGGTGTTCCACTTTCTTTTCTTTTTGTCCGATAACGAATTCCGTATGATAACGATTAGGATCCGTGTCGATTAGACCTTTCAGTCTAAATATCTCTTGGTTAAGGATTTCTATCTCTTTAATGTAGCCTTCGCACTCATCGCTCTGTGTCTTTATTTGGCGCTTCAATTTTTCAATGTCTGATTCCAAGGTTGTAATAATTTCTTTATACTGGCTGTCGTTGTTTTTCTTGTAGTTCTCAATCTGACCCTCTAGTTTTACGACCATGCTATTTCGATGATTCAACTCAACGTCTAAATCCGCCTTCTCGTTATTGAGTTTTTGGATCTCGGCGATATAACCCTTGCATTCTGTCATGCAGTTTTCATAATCTCGCTTTAGTTTTTCGACCTCTTGCTCGTTAGAATTGTTCAGAATCCTCAGCCTCTCAATAAGGGTCTCCTTTTCTATGATTTCAGTTTTGTATGTCTCGACTCTTGTCTCTATCTCGGAGAGTTTGTCGTTCAGAAGCGCTGTCTCACCCTCAGTCAGTTCGTTGTCAGCTTTGGATTCTTCCAATTGTTTGATAATGATATTATACTCGTTGCGAACTGTGGAAATCTCTGCTTGAAGGTCGTACCTGAAAATATATAGTTTAAATAGTTTGAATTCCATACATCATGCACGGATTACAGGGGCGTAGCCAGGATTTTTTTTGGGGGGGAGGGGGGAGGACAAATTAAAATATCCTCCATTTTGTTTGCGCTCCCAAAACGTAGAACTAAAAAAAACAAACAAACAAAAAACAAACAAAAACGAAAACAAACAAACAAAAAAACAACATAAAAACAAACAAACAAACAAACAAAAA